GAGTGGTGGTTTTAAATCTTGGTGGTTAAAAAAATATTATTTGAAAAAATCAAAGAAAACTAGCACCTAGAAGTCCTATTTTGTCCCTATCCAGTTACCTTTGTGCCGCCATAACTAAAATGCTATAAGTGGATGACTTCAACAAGCATAAATTTATTTTCTTAAATTTTGGTGGTGGTGGTGGTGTGTGCTGTGGAGTTGGTTCCAACTCATAGTGACCCTGTACAGGGTTTCCAAGACCGTAAACCTTTATGGAAGCAGAAAGTCTCGTCTCTCTCCTGCGGAGCGACTGGTAGATTCAAACTGGTGACCTTGCTATTAGCAGCTCAGTTCATGATCCACATTTTAGGAACTAGAAGTCCAAATTCATAGCACCAGGCTCTGAGGGGGACAATCCTAGTGTCTTTAGCTTCTGTTTCCTGGTTCCATGGAGGTCTCCACAGGCCTTGGCATCTATCTTCCACAAAGCTCTGCTTGCTTAAGTTGTTACTTTGATATTTTGTAAGAGATTGACCCAAGATACACCCTGCACTAATACTACCACATGAACATAACAAATCCCAAATGGGTTTATAACCTCAGGATTTACAATAACTGTGGACTTCTGATATGGTGCTATAGGATAAGCAGTGGACTGCAAGGTCGGTTTGAACCACAAGGTTGGTGGTTCAAACTCACCAGCTGCTCCTCAGAAACTCTATACAGGGTCTTTATGAATCGGAACCAACGTGATGGCACTTAACAGTAACAACAATGGAGTTTTGGTGTGGCACTGTTGGATAAACCCGTCGTCACTGCTAGTCGCAAGATCAGTGGTTGAAACCCACCAGCTACTCCTTGGAAACCCTGTAGAAGGTTGCTAGAAGTCGGAACCAACTAGACAACTTATAAAACAGCAGTCCAGTCCATAGCACTTTTGGTCCTTCCTCCTTCAGTGATCCTGTTTGAGTGGTCCATGTGTTGTCCTGGTGGCATTGCAGGATAACAGCTGGACTCCTAAACCTAAAGTCAGTAGTTCAAACCCACCAGCTGCTCCACAGGATAAGAATAAGGCTTTCTTTGGGGTCCTGGTATGGTGCTCTGGGATAAGCATGGTCTCCTAACCGCAGGGTCTACAGTTCAAACCCATCAAGCACTCCTTAAAACCCTAGACAGAGTCGCTATGAGTGAGAACTGAGTGATGGCACTTAACAACAACAACATGTGTTGCCTGAGGGATGTGTGCCTTTCCCGTCAGCCTGCCATCTTCCCATCACTGGGCCATCTGCTGGAAGCACCCCATGCACTGAGCTGGAGGTGACAGAACTTGCCCCTGCTGGCCGGGGACTGTCTCCTCACAGGTTGTGTACCAGCCACCACCGGAAGTGGAACCGACAACCGCTAAGTCAGAGAAACTGGACCCGCAGCCTTTCCTGAGGGTACTGGAGACCATCGACCACAAGTACCCGCCTGAGGAACGGGGCGACCTCCTTGTCTTCCTGAGCGGCATGGCGGAGATCAGCACCGTGCTGGAGGCCGCGCAGACCTACGCTACCCACACACAGCGCTGGGTGGTGCTGCCGCTACACAGCACCCTCTCTGTGGCCGACCAGGACAAGGTGCCCTGTGGGTGGAGTCACCCTGTAGGCCAGGGAGGGAGGGGGGCTGTGCAGATGGAATCTCTCTCCTCATTTGGATCAGGAAGGAGGACTCCCTGATGAGGAAGAAGGCTTTGAAGGACTTGAGGATTGAGATTAGGGGAGAGGGAGAAGGGCATTTTAGGGTGTGTGTTGAAGGGAGCATTTGGAACATCTTATTGTTGTGACTCTGGGTGCCGTTGAGTTGATTAGGTTCACGGTGACCCTGTGTGACAGAGTAGAACTGCCCTTTAGCGTTTTATAGGCTGTCATGTTTTGCAGCTTCTTCGGTATTTTTCAACATTGCATCTTCCTGATGGGAGCAGATCACCGGGTCTTTCTCCTTCAGAGCTGCTGTGTGGGTTTGGATCACCTAGCATCTGGGTGCCTAATCCTGTGCGCCCAGAGCTTCTAGAGCAAAGGTGTAGGAGTGGGTGGACGTGCATTGGCTATGGGGGAAGGACTTCTTGGCTAGAACCAATTCAAACAAACCCACCGCCACTCCTGAGTCAATTTCAACTCATAGTGACCCTAGAGGACACAGTTAGAACTGCCCCATTGGATTGCCCAGGCTGTCCTGCTATTGGGACTCCTGGGGTGGCACTGTAGGATAAGCACTGGGCTGCTAACCACAAAGTCGGTGGTTCAAATCCACCAGCTGCTCCTCAGAAACCCTATACAGGGTTGCTAAGAGTCGGAACTGATTCAGTGGCATTTCACAACAGCAACAACTGCTAACCACAGCGTTAGTGATTCAAACCCACCAGCTACACCTTGGGAACCCTATGCTGGGTCGCTATGAGTTGGAAACAACTTGGCAACACTTAGCAACAGCAGCAGTCTTTCGGGAGCAGATGACCGTAACCTTTTTCCCTTCGAGCAGCTGGTAGATTTGAACCATTGACCTTATGGTTAGCATCCCAATACTTAACCCACTTCTCCCCCAAGGCTCTTTGTGGCTGCAACAGGAAGCTGGCAAGTGGATGAAGAAAGACCTGTGGGCCTCTGCGTTAGTTATTTGTTACTGTGCTTAGAGCAACAGTATAGTTCTGTAATCTTGCAGAATTGCTGTGGCTCAGGGATCCTGGGAGTGACTCTGCAGTGTGCTTCGGGCTCAGAGTATCTCCTGGGGTTGCAGTTAGATGTCAGCTGGGGCCACAGTTGTCTGAGGCTGGACTGAGGCAGGAGGGTCCCCCCTTAAGATGGCTGGCATGCCAGCGCTGGCTGTTGGCTGGGAGGCCTCAGTTCCCTTCACGTGGGTCTCTTTGGGCTGCTTGAGTCTCCTCCCAGCATGGGTCCTGGCTCTCCATCAGATGTCTCTGATGACCTAGACTGGGAAGTCACAAGCCATCTTGTCTGCAGACTCTCCTAAGTGATTCGGTATAGTTGGTTTAGCGGGAAGGTACTAGGTAAGGACGTGGATTTCCGGAGCGAGAATCACTCAGGGCCACCTTGGGTAGGATCCGTTCAGGTCCCACTCAGTGGTTTGTTGGTGGAAGAAACAACCTCTGACCTAGGGGATTGGGACCCAGGGGACGAGGGGATTTTCAGAACTGGGATCGGAGAAAACCAGAGCCTTGGCAAGGGGTGGGGACAGGGAGACACACTAGGCAGGGTCAGGGTGCTGGCCAGGGTTCTGCTGTCTGCTCACCTGGTGTCCTTATGTCCTCATGGCAGCCTGTCTGGAAGACTCTACTGTTTTCTAGATTTTTTTTTTTTTTTTTTAATTTTTATGGTATATTGTCCCATTTGACAAGTGGGAAAGAAAGCAAGGCTCAAGGAAGTACAGATATTTGTGTGAACTCACACAGCTATGTAATAGCAGAGCCAGGCTTTGAACCCCCGTCGAGGCAGACAGACTTTATATAAAGGGCCAGAGTAAACATTCTCAGCCTTGCAGAGGGTCTCTCTCTTTTAAGGACCCCTGGTGGCCCCATGGTTAAGAACTAGCTTGCTAACGGAAACCTTGGCAATTTGAACGCCCAGCTGCTCCGTAGGAGAAGGATGGGGTAGTGTGCTTCTGTAAAGATGACAGCCTGGGCAAGCTTAGGAGACAGCCCTCCTCCGTCCTGTAGCACAGAGCAGTGACAACAACAGGTTCTCTGTTGTAACTCTTCACTTCTACTGTTGGAGTACCAAAGCAGCCACTGACTGCAGATGAGCATGGTTGTGTTCCAATAAAACTTTATTTACAAAACAGGCAGGATTGGCCCCTGGACTGTAGTTTGCTGACCTCAGCATGCTTACTTACTGGTCTGGGCTAAGAGAGGGGCTTGTGCAAAAATCCTGGGATGAGAGGATGACGGGGCAACTGGGGTAGTACATGCAGTACATGTAGTTCAGATGTCCCCAGAACGGGCTGCCAGGAGAGAGGGGACTGGACCACCCAGGACCTTGAGGACCTCGTGCAAGGAGCAGGGCTTTGTCTTCCTGTTACTGGGAAGCCATGGAGGGGTTCTGAGCAGTGTCAGGTTTGTGTTGAAGGAAGGAGAGTGAGACAGACTGGGGACCAGGCGGGAGGCTGTTGGAATGGGAAGGAGGGAATCAATTTAAGAGATGGTCACAATGTTCAGATGTGACTATGGGATGGAGGCAGGGAGGGTCCCATGTGTGTGGCCCAGGTGAGGAGTAGATGGTGGTGGACCACCCTGGAGGTAGGAGGGACTGGCTCAGGAGAAGATGCTGAGGCTGCTGCAGACACATGCATGTGAGGTGGCCAGGGGGCCCCTGGGCACAGATCAGCAAAGCCCCCATTCTCTCACAGGTGTTCGACATGGCGCCGCCTGGAGTCCGGAAGTGCATCCTGTCCACCAACATCGCAGAGACTTCAGTCACTATTGATGGGATCCGCTTTGTCGTAGACTCTGGTAAGGGCTCCCTGATCCCCACCCAGAATCCCATGCACCAGAAGGAGTGTAGGGGCTGGAAACATTTTAGACCAAAGCAGGAAGTAGGCAGCCTATGGGGCTGAAGGACATTTGTTGTTGTTTTATGTCGTGTGAAGTCAGTTCTGACTCATAGTGGCCCTGTATAGGGTTTTCTAGGAGCAGTTGGTGGGTTTGAACTACAAAACTTGTGGTTAGTAGTCCAATGCTGATCCTGTAGCATTTAATTATTTCTCAAAAGGTCTAAGCTCGTGTCTACCTCAGGACTGTTACTGTTTTCGCTGCTGAGAGCCGTGTTTCTCAGGATAGCCGCACAGCTTGCGCCCCTGCCTTATTTTACACTAAAACCAAACCAAACTCAGTGCTGTCAAGTCTGACTCACGGCTAACCCTGACCTTCTGTCGGTGCCGCTTAAAGTCAGTGTCTCCCTGCCAGAGAAGTCCTTGTTGTCTGTCTTTACCTGTTGTCTAAATGACTCCTCTTTTCCTGCTGTCCTCCCTTCTCGTGGAGGCTGGTTTATATCATCTATTGTCTGACTGCCCAAACAGAATGTAGACTAGAAAGTGCACTGGTCAGGAGATCCTCAGTATTACTGGCTGTGCATGGGGGTCACGTGCTGACACTGTCTGTACATCAGTTTGCTTATATGCAAAACGGAGATATTAAATCCTAGAGAAATAAGAGCCGCAACATAAACAGACTTACGCACACCCATGTTCATCGCCGTACTATTCGCAGTAGAGAAAAGAATGGAACAGCCTAAATGTCCATCATTGGAAGAATGGATAAATAAACTGTGGTACAGCCACCTGCTGAAATACCACGTCATATTAAAGGATGATACTGAACCTGTGACACACCTCACAGCGGGGATGAACCTGGAGGAGGACATGATGCTGAGTGAAATGAGTCAGTCACAAAAGGACTGAGAAAAAGTGACGAAAAAGTTTTCACACTAACAAACATTGTTGGCTATCAGGAGTGGGAGGGGAGGGACGGCAATCACTAACTAGAGGGTTGTTGTTAAATGCAGTTGAGTCGGTTCCAACTCATAGCGACCAAAAGAACAGCTGGTGAGTTTGATCCGCTGACCTTGTGGTTAGCAGTCCAGTGCTTATTCTGCAGCAGATACATATTAATTTGGGTCGAGAGGAAGGCAATATGTAATAAGAGAGGTCAGCGAAAAATGAAGAAGGCCCAAGAAGACACTGGGAGGAATGCAAGAGTCAAAAAAAAAAGAGAGAGAGAGAGAGAGACAGAATAATACAGTCCTGCCTTAGCTCGTGGGGGTTCAGCAGGCTGGGAGGCTTGGGTGCTGAGAAGCGTGCCTGGCAGAGGCAGCATTCAGTAAATGCTAAAGTGGTTGCCGTTAAGTTGTCTCCCAATTATGGAAACCCATGTGTGTCCGAGTAGAACTGTAACTATGCTTCCCAGGGTTTTCTGTAGATCACCAAGCTTTCCTTCTGAGGTACCTCCGGATAGACTTGAATCTCCAACCTCTCGGTTAGCAGCCGAGTGTGTGAACTGTTTGTACCAACCAGGGACTTCCTGGCACATAGTAGGTGTGTCATAAATACTTGTCGGATGACTGAGCCTGTGAATAAGCAGAGGCATGGAATGAAAGACCTCCAGACTGATTTTGTGAAATTAGTCACAAAAGGATAAATACGGTATGAGACCACTGTTGTAAAGAGTTAAGAGAAAGTTTTCATTATAAAAGAAAAAATTCAGTGGTGGGAAGGAAGAGAAAATTCTTCACTGGCTAGAGGGTAGAAATGTTAAGGCAAAAGAGCTGATCAGAAAGTTTCATAGGTCGGTCGGTTCTAGAAGACAAAGTCAAATATTACAACGAAATGTACAAAGTCCTGGAGTTAGAAAACCAAAAGGGAAGAAGACGAACAGCATTTGTTGAAGGATTCTATGGGCAAAATATTGAATGATACAGAAACCATCAAAAGAACATGGACGGAATACACAGAGTCACTTACCAAAAAGAAATGTTCAGTGTTCAACCATTTCAAGAGGTAGCATATGATCAAGAGCCAATAATCCTGAAGGGAGAAGTCCAAGGTGCATTGAAAACTGGCAAAGAACAAGGCTCCAGGAATAGATGGGATACAAATTGAAATCTTTCAACAAACTGATGTAGCACTGAAGGCACTCACTTATCTATGCCAAGAAATTTGGAAGACAACTATGTGGCCAAATAACTGGAAGAGATCCATATTTGTGCCCATTCCAAAGTGAGGTGACCCAGTGGAATGCAGAAGTCATCTGATAATATCATTAATATCACATGCAGGTAAAATCTTGCTAAAGACAATACAAAAATGACTGCAACCATACATTCACAGAGAACTTCTAGAGATTCAAGCTGGATTCAAAAGAGGACATGAAATGAGGGATATCATGCTGACATCAGATGGATCTTGGCTGAAAGCAGAGAATACCAGAAAGACGTTTACCTGTGCTTTATTGACTACGCAAAGGCTTTTGATTGTGTGGATCATGACAAGCTATGGACAACATTGCAAAGTATGAGCATTCCGGAACACTTACTTGTGCTCGTGAGGAACCTGTACATAGACCACGAGGCAGTTGTTGAAACAGAACAAGGGAACACTGAATGGTTTAAAATTAGGAAAGGTGTGCAACAGGGTTGTATTGTTTCACCATACTTATTCTGTGTGCTGAGCAAATAATCTGAGAAGCTGTATTATATGAAGAAAAACGTGGCATCAGGATTGGAGGAAGTCTTACTAACAACCTGTGATATGCAGATGAAAGTGAAGAGGACTTACTAATGAAGATCAAAGACCATAGCCTTCGATATGGGTTGTACCCCAATGTAAAAATGACAAAAATCCTCACCACTGGACCAATAAACAACATCTATATAAATAGAGAAAAGACTGACGTTGTCGAAGACTTCATTTTGCTTTGATCAGCCATCAACACTCATGGAAGCAGCAGTCAAGAAATCAAATGATATATTGCATTAGACATATCAGCTGCACAAGACCTCTCAAAAGTATCGAAGAGCAAAGATGTTAATTTGAGGACTAAGGTGTGCTTGATCCAAACCAGGGTATTTTCAATAATCTCATGTCAAGTGAAAGTTGGACAGTGATTAAGAAGACCACAGAAGAATCAGCACAATTTAGTTATGAAGTTGGAGGAGAATATTAAAAGTACCACGGACTACCTAAAGAACAAACAGATCTGTGTTGGAAGAAGTACAGCCAGGGTGCTCCTGGGAAACCAGGATGGCCAGACTTCATCTCTCATACTTCAGACATACAATCATGAGGGACCAGTCCCTGGAGAAGGATATCTTGTTTAGTAAAGTGGGGGGTTGAAGAAAAAGAGGAAGACTGCCTTGAAGATGGATTAGCACAGTGGTGGCATCAGTGGACTCAGGCTTAGCAATGATTGTGAGGTTGGTGTGGGACCTGACGGTGTTTCTTCGTTCTCTTGTGCATAGGGTCGCTATGAGTGGTGCCAACTTGATGACACCTAACAACAATAATAAAAACAGAGGGTAGATACATGTTAACTTGGGGACAGGGAAGGCAATACACAGTAAGAGGGAAGTTGGCAGAGGAAAGATGAAGGTAGCAGAACACATAGGGAAGAGTGCAAGAGTTAAAGTGAATAGAGGTAAAATACTTTTAACTGATGGTACCTGGAGGGGATTGCAGTCATTGTAATGAAACAAAGTATACGATGTTGAATGTGAAACTGATGATCAGCTCTGTAAACCTTCACTCAGTTCATGAATAGAGACAATTGTCTAGCCCCATGGATTAGGAAATGAAAAGACTGATTGACATGTGAGAATTGAAGCTTCCTGAGGACAGGGACTTGCCCGTGTCCCCGGCCCTTAGGAATAGCTCTCTATGGTTGTTGTAGAATAAAGGCATGAATGAAGGAGGCTGTATGTGAATGAAGAGATAGGATGCCAGACACAAGGAGGGTCCTCCATGACTGCTGCACCCCGGCTCCCTTCCTTAATGGCTTCTCCTACCCTCTGTCCCCCAGGGAAGGTGAAGGAGATGAGCTACGACCCGCAGGCCAAACTGCAGCGGCTGCAGGAGTTCTGGATTAGCCAGGCCAGTGCTGAGCAACGGAAGGGCCGCGCTGGCCGAACAGGCCCCGGCGTCTGCTTCCGCCTCTATGCCGAATCAGACTATGATGCCTTCGCCCCGTATCCCATCCCAGAAATCCGGAGGGTAGCCCTGGACGCATTGGTGCTACAGGTGAGGAACGGGTAGGGGAAAACAGTGCTGTGTCCTGAGCTCTGGTTGTCAGGGAAGCAGTGGGAGGTATTTAGACAGTGTCTTCCAGGCCCGGGATTTCATCCCTTCCAAGAGTCCGACTCCATGTGGTTGGAGGGTTGCACCCCAGATTCACAAGGTTAGGGAAGAACCCTGCAACATAATCAGAATGTGTTCAGCAAACCCAACAAGAAGTGAACAGGTGAACCCAACCAGGGTTTCTCAATATACTGGATGTCCTTAACCCCTAGTATCTCAGTTAGTGTAGTTTACATTAGACTGCGGAGAAAAGCCGGGCCAGAATGGCAGACACACAGGATTCTAGTTCTCAGGTTGGCTGACAAAATAAAGAAAGCCAAACCCACTGCTATCAAGTTGATTCTGACTCATAGTGACCTGTAAGACAGAGTAGAACCGCACCATAGGGTTCCTGAGACTGTAAATGTTTACAGGAGCAGAAAACCTCAGCTGTCTTCTGTGGAGTGGTTGGTGGGTTTGAACCGTCGACTTTGTGGTTAACAGTCCAACATTTAACCCACTGTGCCACCAAGGGTCTTTAGTCATAAATAATGTTAAGTGTCATCATGTCAGTTCCAACTCCTAGTGACCCTATATAGGGTCTCTGAGGAGTGGTTGGTGGGTTTGAACCACTGACCTTGTGGTTAGCTGTCTAGTACTTATCCTACAGCACCATACCAGGACTCTTGGTGGTGGTGGTGGTTACGTGCCGCTGAGTTAATTTTGACTCATAGTGACCCTGTATAGGGTTTTCATGGCTATAAATATGTAAGCAGAAAACCTCATCTTTCTCCCACAGGTTTGAACTGCTGACATTCTGGTTAGCAGCCTAACTCATAATCCACTATACAACCAAGATTCCTTAGTAATGAGTAATAATGAAAACAAAATAAGATAAAACAACCCCAGTCTAGTGCTTACCATATTTTTATGCAAATAAACTGTATATATATATTTTTTTTTCAAATACCTTGATTTTATTGTATCTCAAAAGTTATTCTCTTAAGGCACACTACGCTGACATGTGGCTTCATGTATAACAAAGGGAGCCCTGGAGGTCAGTTTGAACCGGCTGATGGTTCCAACTCACCAGTCACTCCTCCGAAACCCTATACAGGGTCACTGAGTTAGAACTGGCTCAATGGAACTTAACAACAACAAATATAACAAAGAGAATCCTGTTCCCAAATGGGGTCATATCCACAGGTTTAGGGGTGAGGAATTAAAGCACACATTTTGGGAGATCCAACTCAGCTTGTAACAGTGGGAGACACTGGCAGAGCCCCCAGGCCCTGTGAGATTTCTCTCCTTCACAGTCCTGGGCGCTACCAGGCCAGTCTTCACTGCATCCAGCCACCCACCATGTGGCTATTGTATGCTCTTGTCAGGCCCAGCCCTGGATTGTTTTCCTGATACCACTGTGTTCTCCCCACGCCCACGGTCCCTTTGGGCCCCTGAATGAATGGGGTGCTTCTGGTTGCAAGTGAAAGAAAAAAACCACCCAATCCAAACTATGTTAAATAGAAAAGGGGATTTTATTCATGTATCCACATCCTGTAGCATCGCTAGGAGAATCGACTCCATGGCAGTGAGTTTTTTGGAGGGGTTGGTGGGAAGCCTCAGCTTAGGGACAGTTCACTCAGGGACATCTCTGTCCCTTATGGATGGGCTAATTACAGGCAATAGAAAAAGTAACCACCCATAGCTTGGGGTTTCCATCGCAGAAGGAGTACAACCAGAGAGGCTGCCAAAACTCCTCTCTTCCAGCTCCAGATTGAAAAGTCCCAGGAAAGACTCCGATTGGCCCCATCAGGTTATATGTTCATTCTGTAATGAGTTGCTTTGACCAGGGGCTGAAGAACCATGATTGGTCCAGCCTAGATCATGTGCTTACTCCTACCTGGCCAGAGGGGGGTGGGGTGGGCAGTAGTGCTGAACAGGCAGACAGACAGTGGCTCCTCCAAGGACCCCTGGTGGTGCTATGGGTTAGGTATTGAACTGCTAACTTCAAGGTTGGTGATTCAAATTCACCAGCTGTTCTTCAGAATAAAGATGAAATTGTCTGCTCCCATAATGATTGATAATGTCAGAACCCTGGTGAATAGGGCGTTGAGTTGGCAATGACTTGCTGGCTGTGGGTTTGTTTGTTTTTACTCCACACAACAACACTTCCAGCCTTGACAATTGATGTTAAGTATCACAAGTTTGTGATTCCTGAGGTACAGTTCCCATACCCCCAGTTTCATTTGTATCCTGTTTCCATTGTCATTTCAGATGAAGAGCATGAATGTGGGGGATCCCCGCACTTTCCCCTTCATTGAGCCCCCACCCACAGCCAGCCTGGAAACAGCTATTCTCTACCTCCGAGACCAGGGGGCCCTGGACAGCACAGAGGCCCTCACCCCCATCGGCTCCCTGCTGGCCCAGCTGCCTGTGGACGTGGTGATTGGTGAGGAGCCCTCGGGCATGATGTGGGCCCTGGGGATGGGTGCAGGGCACCTCTCACTCTTCCTTCCCTGGGTCCTGCTCATTCATTTACACATACCATGAGTGCCTCTCTGCCAGGATACAGCAGCAACTGAGTAAAAGAGACAGCAGTCCCCACCCTCCGGGAGCTCAAGTTCTAGGAGGGACCAAAAACTAAAATTCCAGCTCATGGCGGCATGATGTGTGTCAGAGTACAGCTGTGCTCCGTAGGCTTTTCAGTGACAGTTTTTGAAAGCAGATTGCCAGGACTTTCTTCCAAGGCCCCTCTGGTGGGCTTGAACTTCCAGTCTTTCAGGTAGCAGCTGGGCACATGAATCATTTGCACCACCCAGGGACTTCTCAATAATACGAGTAAGCACAGTAACTAGCAAGTCAGGAAGTGGTGGCACACTCCACTGATAACTGCAGAGTTGGCAGTTCGAATCCACTAAAGATTACCACCATGAAAACCCTCTGGAGAAGTTCTACTCTGTCTTCTAGAGTCTCTGTGAATCGGAATAGATTCAGACAGCCAATTTTATAGTAGGTCAGAATAAGAAGAATGCAAAGAAAGGGGACAGGAAGGATTGGGCAGTTTGTAGTTTATGATAGGGGCTTTGAGAGGGTACCACTTGTGCAGAGAAATGCAGGAGGTGAGGGTGGGAACCAGGCCCATAGTTAGAGCCGTGCTGGCCAGTAGATATGTAGACAGAGAACTCGAGCCTCTGTGTAATTTAAAACTTCTAGCTGTTGTTGAGAGCTGTTGAGTCCATTCTGACTCTCAGTGCCCCTGTATAGGGTTTCTAAGGAGTGGATGGTGGGTCTGAACTACCAGCCTTGTGGTTAGCCGTCCATTGTCTCCAACAGTGCCACTCCAGGACACATTAAAAACATAACAGAAACAAGAGACATAAATTTTGAGGATCACATTAGTTTTCTAGAGGTGCCATAGCACAGGACCACAAAGTAGGCGACTTACAGCACCACAATTACATTGTTTCCGCTCTGGAGTTAAGTGCAGTCAGGCTGTCATCCCTGTCGATTCCTCCCGGGGGGCTCTGCGGGAGAATCGTGCCTCCCCCCAGCTCCTAGTGGCTCCCGGCAGTTCTTGGCCTTCACTGGCCCAAAGTGTGCCTGCTTCTGACGTCACATGGCTGTGTTCCTCTGTGTCTGTTCTGTCCTTTTATAGGGACACCCCTGGGATTGAATTCGACCCCACCCTTCTGCAGTATGATGTCGTGTTAACTGATGACATCTGCACAGACCCTGTTTCCACACCAGGTCATGTTCACAGGTGTAGGGTTAGGACTGCAGACACCACATTTAGAAGTTAGATGTGGCTGGAGATTTCTGATTTGGAATTCCCTCTTGAGAGTAAATGAAGAAGAACGCTAGTGGTGGTGGCTGTGTGCCGTGGAGTGGGTTCCGACCCATAGCGACCCTGTACAGGGTTTCCGAGGGTGTAAATCTTCACTGGAGCAGAAAGCCTCATCTTTCACCCACAGAACAGCTGGTAGTTTCAAGCTGCTGACCTTGAGATTAACAGCCCAACTTGTAACCTCTGCGCTGCCTGGGCTTTGCCGTTTTGTTGTGGTGAGCTGTCCTGGAGTGCGCCCGCCCCCCGCCCACTCATGACGATCCCACGTGGAACAGAATAGAACTGCTCTGTCGGGTTTCCCTGGCAGTCATCTTTACAGAGCAGCTTTCCAGTCCTTTTCATCCACAGAGCAGCCCCACCCCCTTTTAAGGTTAGCAAGGGGCCCTGGTGACACAGTGAGTTAGGCATTGGGCTGCTGACCAAAAGGTCAGCAGTTCAAACTCATCAGTCCCTCCTTGGGAAACAATGCTTTCTGTTCGTGTAAAGATTTATAACCTCAGAAACCCTAAGGTGCAGTTCTGCCTGTCCTGTGGGGTCATTATGAGTCAGGAGGGTTAGCAGCCGAGCGCAAACTGCGTACATCACCCAAGCACCTTACTACTACAATCAGCCATGTGAATGCCGGAACCTGGGTAAACCAGAAACCTGTCAGAGAGGAAAACTCACTAGGAACGTATGAGGTAGGATTCTTAACAGAGAGTGGTCAGCACCTGTCAAAGATGGAAAACTTAAAACAAAACCCAGGAAAGCCAGGCCTATTTTGAATAAGTCACATTAAGACAGCCTCCACTATTTGAATTCCGCGGCATCTAGCTTATTTATGGGGCGTCTGCTGGGAGAAACAAGCAGGTGGGTTAGCCCCAGACTCTGGGGTCCTGGGATTTTTACAGCCTAGCCCATCCTCCCCACCCCCCTGCACAGCCAACCCAGCTCTCCCCAGTGTGTGTTCATGGCCGTGGTAATGGCAAAACCCACCTAAGTCACCCTAGCCTGTCCGGAGGCTCACTGATCCAGGCTGTTCCAGCCAAGTTCTCCCAAGTCAAGCCTTCAGTCTCTCCACCAACACTTCACAACTCCCAGGACACTCCCCAAAGGGCACAACCCCCCTGAGCAGTTTTTCCAAAGCACTTTGCTCAGTAGAACCTTCTGCCCTATCATCCCAGCACTCTGGAAAGATACCTGGTAGTGTAGGGGGCTAAGCATTCAACTGGTACCACATGGTTGGCAGTTCAAATCCATCTACCGCTCAGAATGAGAAAGGTTGGTCAGTCTGCTTCCATAAAGATTGACAGCCTTGGAAACGCTGTGGGGCACTCCACTTTGTCCCATAGGGTCACTGTGAGTCAGGGTAGGCATATGTGACTCGCTTTCTGAATGAGGAAGGGGACGGTCACAGAAAGGCTGCCTCTCTCCTGGGGTCATGGGGCTGGAAGTGTCTGCTGTGGGTGTGGGTCCCAGCGCTTCATGGGGAGACACTAAGGGACATACTTTGAATCCTCATAGCCACCCTGCGGGGACAAGTGGATGCTGCTGGTGGCCTGACAGTAGGGAGGGCACACAGTGGTAGAGGGACAGTGCTGGAAGCATTGGGACAGGACCCAAGGCCTGGTGGGCAGACTGACCTTCACTCTTCACGTGAGATCAGTGGCTGCCTGGTCAGCTGCGGGAGCCTGAGGGTCGGGGGTGGTGGTGGGGGGGATCAGACCCAAGCTGCACAGCCAATGTCCACAGGGCAGGCGGGCCAGGGTGCAGCATGCCAGCGGCCAGCCCTGTGTGGAGGGGCCACTGGAGCAGGGCGTGCCTTGATTCCCGCTGCCCTTCTCTCCTCCATCTTTTCACCCTTCCCCACTGTCATCCCTAGGAAGTGTGAACTCACCCCCCCACACACACACACACACACACAACACAACAGGGATGGCACTGAAATGACCGCAGAGGATGCAGTGAACAGGCCATGAGAGGGCCCAGCTAGGCAGTGGTGCCCGTCACCCAGTTCCTTAACTCATCAACTACACCACCACCACCCCACCACCACCCCCGCCACCACCTCAGCTGCCAGTCATTGTGGCAAGTGGCCTGCCATTGGGTAGAGCAGGGCTCTACTGTGACCAATGGGAGAGGGAAGAAGCTGCCTATGTTGTGGGGGTGGGGCCACCCCCTCCAGCCACAGGTGGGGGTGTCTTCATGAGTGACATGAGGGACACCTCTCCGCCCCCTCCTTTCTTCCTCTCCCCTCCCATTTTCATTTCCTTCTCATTTACTCATCCTTTCCTCCTGAACTAAAGCAAAGGTGGCAGCAAAAGGTCTGCCCTGAACCAGGCACCCAGTGGAGCACCCACCCCGTGCCAGAGCATACCATCCCCGCTCCCGCGAAGGACATGCCCTGGCTGGAAGAGAGAGACTCATCTGGGCAGGTCAGATGAGTGCCAGGAAGGACCAGGAGGGGCACAAGGGAGGATGCTCACTGCTGCCAAGGGGATTCTGACTCATGGTGCCCCTCCTCCCCCTACAGAATAGAACCTCTCCAGCGGGTGTTCAAGGCTGTGACCTTTCAGAAGCAGATTGCCAGACCTGTCTTCTGAGTCGCTTCTGGGTGGGTTCAAACTGCTCACCTTTCAATTAGGAGTTGAAGCACTCACTTAATCCATGCATCACCTAGGGACTCTTCCGTACAGTGTTATTTGTTGCTGTTAGTACCAACAGTCATTTCCAACCCTGTACAGGGTTTCCTAAGAGTGAGTGATGGGTTTGAACCACCAGCCTTGCCATTAGCAGTCCAGTGCTTATCCTATAGCGCAGTAGAACAAAGCGGCCTTGTACAGGGTTTCCAAATGAGCTTGAACCACTGACCATGCGGTTCAAATGACTTTGCAGTCCAGCTCATTAACCCACAGCCCCACACCAGGACTCTTCGATAGTGCAGAAGCCTGTGGTTAAAACAGCCCCAACTCTGATTACAGACAGGGAAACTGAGGCCCTTCTCCGGGTCACATGACCAGGAAGCACAGCATCCATGTTTGAGCCTGGTCATCTGGCTTCCTTGGTGGGCAGAATGGAGGGAGGTGGCGACTGTGGGACCTCTGGGACTGGGAGTTATAGCTCATCCCTCACCCCACAGGGAAGATGCTGATCCTGGGCTCCATGTTCCGCCTGGCCGAGCCCGTGCTCACCATGGCCGCTGCCCTCAGCGTCCAGTCACCCTTCACTCGCAGCGCCCAGAGCAACCCTGAATACGCAGCGGCCCGGCGGCCCCTGGAGAGTGATCAAGGCGACCCTTTCACACTCTTCAATGTCTTCAACACCTGGGTGCAGGTGGGGCTGGCCACTGTCTGTCATTATACTTGGGCTCCGGGCCTCCCCCAGGCCATGGCTCCTCCACCTGAGGTACCCCCCCACTTCCACAGGGACCCCCAGAGACAGCGCACATCCATGTGTGACTGTCTGCCATTCGTGTCCTTGGGCTCGGGGTTGTGAGGAGCCTATAGTTTGAGTCCTGGTTAAAACCAGTGTCACCTGGAGCTAGCCCACCCGTCACAGGCTGACTGCTTCCTGGCCCCTCACTGAGTCTGGCCCTGCCCTCACAGGACTCCCAGTCTAGGGGGAGACAGACCCAGGTGGGTGGGGCTGGGAGAGCCCTGGGAAGGCACCTGACTCCACCTGGGCATTCAGAAGGGCTTCCTGGAGGAGGGGTGTTGGGGCTGAGCGCAGGGAGCAGGAAGAGAGCAGGAGATCGCTGAGGGAGGTCCCACCGTTCCTCAAGCTGCCTGGCATCCTCACATCAGGTGATGCTCACTGTCCTGCCTGCAGGCCTAGAGGCTGGGAGTCCAGACTACGGGCCGTGGTCTGACACCATGTTTATTCATTCTCATTCAGGTGAAATCTGAACGGAGCCGAAACTCACGCAAGTGGTGCCGCCGCCGGGGCATCGAGGAACATCGGCTCTATGAGATGGCCAACCTCAGGCGCCAGTTCAAGGTCAGGTTCATGGGCATGGTGGGTGCAGAAGTGTGCTTGAGAGGTGTGCACTCCAGAAAGATCGCCACCTCCCCTCCCCCCCCGCTCCTCTGACAGTGACAAGACCAGAGTCCCCCACCTGCCCTGGCCCCTCGGCTATCTCCCATGACAGCCAGGGATTGGGGGTGGACTGGACAGAGCCAAGGCGTAAGACTCCAGGAGAGCTTCCCCGAGGAGGCAAAGTTAGCTCATCGCTGCCCACCTCAGCACAGGGGAGAGCGTTGGATCTGCTGTCCCACAACTGCCTTTGAGGGCTGCCTGGTGACACCGTGGCTAAGTGTTCCTGCTAGGTGCAGGGTCAGCGGCGGGTTGGACCTACCAGTTGCTCTGTGGGAGAAAGATGTGGCAGTTTACCTTCGTTTAGATGATGTTGGAAACCCTGGAGGGCAGTTACCCTGTTCAAGGGGGCTGCTAGGAGTCAAAAATCCATTCGACACCAGTGGGTCTGAGTGTGATGTGCCTAGGAGTCCTTGGAAGAAGCCTGGTTAGCAGTCCCACCTGAACCCACAGCTCTACCAGGGCTCCTCGGGTACTGGGGCTGTTGTGTGCCGTCATTTGTTTTTGACTCACAGAGATCCTTGTGTAGGATGTCCAAGCGACTGGTGGGTTTGAACATCTGACCTTGCAGTTAGCAGTCCAGTGCTTATCCTACAGCACCACACCAGGACTTGGGGAGGGCTCCCTATTTTACATCTGAGGAAACAGGAAGGAGCGGTTGCTTGCAAGCCTCCCTCCTCGCCCCAGCCTGCCATCCCTCACTCCGCCTCACCGCCCCCAGGACCTGTTGGAGGACCACGGGCTGCTGGCAGGGGCCCAGACCCGGAGGCCTGGTGACAGCTACAGCCGACTGCGGCAGCGCCGGGAGCGCCAAGCGCTGTACCAGCTGAAGCGCCAGCATGAAGAGGGTGGGGGGCGCCGGCGCAAGGTGCTGCGACTGCAGGAGGAGCAGGAGGGCGGCTCCAGCGAGGAGGACGGGGCTTCAGCCAGCAGGGCTGCCAGCGACGGCGGCGTGGACATCCAGGTGCTGGGCTCAGGGATGGAGTTTACCAGACCAGGGACACAGCCCTGTCCCGGGGTCTGAGGGGACACAGCTCTGCCCCGGGGTCTGAGGGGACACAGCCCTGCCCCGGGGTCTGAGGGGACAGGCCCTAGTCCCCAGAAGAACTCCTTAGATGGGAACAGACCCTCAGGACCCCCACTGTCCTCTGTTTCCCCAGGATGTGAAGTTCAAGCTCCGGCACAACCTGGAGCAGCTGCAGGCAGCCGCCAGCTCAGCTGAGGATCTGACCCGAGACCAAATGGTCCTGCTGAAGCTGGTGCTGGGCCGTGGCGTCTACCCACAGCTGGCCATTCCTGACCCTTTCAACAGTGGCCGCAAGGACTCAGACCAGGTGGGCCCTCCTTCCTGCCCCCCTCACCTTTGTTTTGTTATTCAGCACATGGGCTAGGTTCCTGCTCTGCACCCCACTTGTGCTGGAGACACGGTAGTGACCAACACAGTCCTGGACTTGCACTCCAGGACAGTCCTCAGATGGAAAAGGCTTGGAGTGGGTGAGCCTGAAGGCAGAGGAGCCCCTGGAACCAGGCAGAGTCAGGGAGGGCTTCCTGGAGGTGTCACCAACACAGGAAGTAGGTTGCGGGCCTCGCTACACAGCATGCACCTTGCCTTGCCTCTACAGATTTTCCACACGCAGACCAAGCAAGGCACCGTGCTGCACCCCACCAGTGTCTTCGCCAGCAGCCCTGAGGTGCTGCACCCGCAGGATCCCGAGAGCAGGGCTGGTGACAGGAGCCGAGGTACGGGAATCTGGGTGGTAGGCACTCCCAGCTCTGACTTTGTTGAGGTTGCCACCTGGAAACTACAGGCAGGGTGCCTTGGGCCAGTCCATCCCTACAGGGGATGCAAACTGACCTGCCCCACTGGGCCTTCCCAGGGTTGTGAAGGCCGGGCCTGGAGCTCTGTGAACTTCCGCTGTGTCCAGAAGGGGCTCTTGAGGCAACATAGCAATGTTCTAGCAGCCCGAGTCAGGCCACTGGCTCTACAAGATTCCAGAGAGTCAGCGTGTAGCCGTGCTCAGGGGCATAGGCCTATGTGCTGGGGTGGAGCCTTCCAGCCAGTTGTCCCATCAAGAGGGCGTTTTTGACACACGCACCCACACACGCACACACCTCACCTTGGCACTAGTGATAAAGCCTCAGGTGGCATTTGCAATCCAGGTGGTTGAGATGATGCGGTTTTGGGTGACTGTGACTGTCCCGGGAGCTTGTCCCCTGGATGAGGACTCAGCTCAATCAACTTTCACAAGGGATCATCCTGGCAGGTCTCCAAATTTCATCAACTCCCCACGTCACTGCTGTTCCCCAGGGCACATAGCCTGAGCAGAATGGAGCTTTGCCTGTTTGGGGCTTTACAGAATGGCACCCTACGGTACCAGCTCCTTGGTGTCTGGGTGCTAGAGGATTTCCAAGTACAGCTATTCCTCACCCGTTGACTCTCCTGCTCTCTGACAATTCACGTGTATGAACACCATAAACGAGCTGCCATCTGACTGCATGTTAAGAATGAGCACCTGCAGAGCAGAGGTGCTGCCTATGCTGGTTTAAGCTGACGTGATCACCCTGGCTGGGCAGTTAGGCAGTGATGGCGTTTCCCTCACTTCTGTGATCTGATGCAGTCACCCTCCATTTCCGTGTAACACCCAGTAAGCAAGAACTCTCCACCCTCCCACCCTGTAGCCCCTGGTAACCTTTGGTCTGCGTTCTATCTCTGTGGTTTGCTACTTCCAGACGGTTCATGTAAATGGAATCAGACACTGTGTGGCCTTTTGTGCCAGACATCACTCAGCATCACGTTTTCATGATGCACCCATGTTGTAGCGTGTTCCCAGACTTCATTCTCTTTAGGGATGTATAACATTCCATGTGTGTTTATCCGTGAGTCTGTGCGTGGTCGTTTGGGCTGTTTATACCTTTTGGCAGCTGGGGATTGTGTTGCAGTGACCATTGGATTGGTGGACTAGTTGTCTTGCCCAGGTTTCTCAGCATCCTACAGCCAGAGTGCGTTGAGCCATCAGCGTGTTGTCATCCTTGTTTTATCTGCCCATTTCTCATTTTTCTTTTCACTGAAACATTTTAAAATTTATTTTTGGAGGCAATACACACAACCAAACACACACCCCTTCATGATTTCTACATGAACACTTCAGTAGCATACGGCACACTCACACTATTTCTACCCATCTTATTCCTTTACCGCTGAAGTAAGCTCTCTGCCCCTTAGAATTCTCATCTTGGCTTTAGATGAAGTTTTGTCAGTTTGAACTCCTATAGATACTTCTTTACAAGAGCACACGCTCAAGGCAGACACTGAGTGAAACTACTATTTAACATTGGCTTCATGGGATTGTTTTGGGTCAAGATTTAAAGATTATTTCTGGGTGTTAGATTTAGGGGTTCCTCCAGTCTCAGTGGAGCCAGTAAGTCTGGTTTTCATGTGAATTAGAAATTCTGTTGCACAATTTTCCTCCTACTGATCAAGATCCAGTTCTTGGGTTCTTGATCAAAGCATCCCATAATGGTAGCCAGGCACCATTCCTTCTTCTGGTCTCATGGTAACAGAGGCCGTACCTTATTGGAGGCAGTTGGACCTACCGCCCATTTCCAGCTCTGATTCCTGGGTCTCATCCTTCCTTTGCTGGGACTGTTTTTTTATAGCAGATCCCAAACATGATGCCATTTGTTGCTGTTGTAACTTGCCATCGAGTTGGTTCTAACTCATAGCACCCCTGTACAGGGTTTCCAAGGCTATAACTCTGGGCAGGAGCAGGAAGCCTCATCTCTCTCCCATGGAGCAGCTGGTGGGCTTGAACCACTGACCTATTGGTTTGCAGTTCAGTGCTTAGGCTGCAGAGCCACTGTATTTAGTAATTACCAGGACCATTTTGACATTACTTCAGTGCTATGATCATTACTTCAGTGCTATGATCATTACTTCAGTGCTATGATCATTCCTACAAAGTTACGGATGGTTCCTGACTACCATATGGCACCACATTCATATTCACTACGGCAGAGTCTTTAGAACAAATCAGTTAATCATGATGCACATGAGCAATTCTTCACCTGGATGTCTCAGGGGGACAGGTGGGAGTAGGGTGTGGCTGAAAGAGGTGAACTTAAGCCCTCCTCTTCAACCTTCCAGAAGACAAGGACAAGATGAGCAGCAAACACCAGCTTCTCACCTTTGTCTCCCTGCTGGAGACCAACAAACCCTACCTGGTGAACTGTGTCCGTGTCCCTGCCCTCCAGGTGAGTGCCCACCCAAACCCCCATTACCCCACCTCCTCAGTGTGATAGCTGAGAGGGGCCGCCTTCCGTGAACTACGGTGTGTCTCAGTCTCGGAGATCTCTGAGAGAAGGAGTATGACACAGGCGGCGGTGGGGTTTGTGTGCTGTCGAGTCGGGTCTGACTCTAGGGACCCTGTATATAGGGTTTCCGAGGCTGTAAATTGGAACGATTGGTAGAGTTGAACTTCTGATCGTGTTGTTAGCAGCCCAGCTTGTCATCCACTATGCAATCATGGATCTTTGTGTATGATACAAGGGGCTTTATCGCCAGCATTCTGAAGCCTCAAGTATGTGTGCCTGTATGCAGCTATCTATACATGTACTTTTATGCATATTGTTAAGTGCTGTTGAGTTGGTTCCGACCCATAGTGACCCTGTATAGGGTTTCCGAGGAGCCACTGGTGAGCTTAAACCGCTAACTTTGCAGTTCAGACGGCCTCGCAGTCTGGCGCCTTAACCCACAGCGCCACACCAGGACCCCCTGTATGCATATTTATGTATATATATTAGAGTCCTGGTGTGGCGCTGTGGGTTAGTGCACCGGACTGCAAAGCCTGTTTGATCCGAAAGGTTGGCAGTTGAAGCTCACAAGCTGCTCCTCAGAAACCCTATACAGGGTCGTTATGGGTCGGAACCAACATATATATACATACACGCATTTACACATATACATTTGGAGTCCTGGTATAAAGTGCTGGACTGCAAAGATGGTTCGAACAACAAGGTTGGTGGTTCAGGCTCACCAGAGGAGCCACTCAAAACAATCCATGCATTTACATACATATAGATGCATTTACATGTAATTTAAACAGTAGTAAATTTACATACACATATATTTCATATTGTTGTATGCCAACTTTGCAGTCTGACGCATTAGCCCACAGTACACCAGGACTCCATACACTTACATATAAATAAGCATTTATGCACGCACACATAATTTACATCCATACAGCAAATACATTTTCATATGTGCATGCATATACATTTGTGAGTATATGTTCATCTATACATGCATGTATGTGCATATACATGTGTGTGTACATGTGTATGCATGCGCATATGAAAATGTATTTGCTGTTTGGATGTAAATGTGTGTTCATAAATGCTTGTTTATATGTAAGTGTATGGAGTCCTGGTGTGATGCTGTGGGTTTATGTGCCAGACTGCAAAGCTATTTGAATTGCAAGTTCAGCAGTTCAAACTCAACAGCTTCTCATTGGAAACCCTATACAGGGTCGCTATGGGTCGGAATCAACTCAACAGCACTTAACATATATGTGTATGTATGTGTGCATATATATACATATATATGTGTAAATGTGAAGTACTTGGCTGTGAAGCAGAGATTGGTGGTTTGCACCCACCCGGCACCTTGGGAGAATGGCCTGTTGATGTCCTTCCCCTCCCCAGTCCCTCCTGCTGTTCAGCCGCTCCCTGGACACCAATGGCGACTGCTCCCGCCTTGTGGCCGACGGCTGGCTGGAGCTTCAGCTGGCAGACACCGAGAATGCTGTCCGGCTCCTGGCAGCTGCTCTGCGGCTCCGAGCCCACTGGGAACAGGCTCTGGACCAGCAGCTGGCCCGCTGCACCCGGCCACGGCTGGAGGACGACGACGAGGAGGCCCCTACAGTCGACCGCAAAGTGGTGGCAGCTCTGAGCAGGGACCTGCTGCAGTTCACAGCGTCCAAGGTACATGCCACTGTGGCCAAAGGGGCCACCCACCATGGGTTGAGACTCGGAAGGCTGACTTCACCCTCTTCAGAGGGCAGCACACATTTGGGGGCTCAGCACTCCTGCCAGGGCACACAAAGGTAGAGCCAGCTGTACACCATATACCCCACAGATGTTTATGAAGCCCTTTCTGCACATGCGCAATTTACTGCCCCCTATTTCACAGTTAAGGGCCACGGGATGGGAGAGGGAGGGGAGGACCTGGACAAAGCAGACTTGACTCCAAACCCTCACCTCTCATGGGGAGGAGAGAGCTGCTCCTGAATCTCCTGCCTCTGGGTGGATGGGGAGGAAGGGCACGCCCAGATGACACCTAGAAAAGTGGGTGGCCTTGAGGACAGGGGCAGGTCCCCAGCCAGCACAGGACTGGGGAATGAGGCTGGGCTGGAAGGGCAAGGAGGCCAGACTATAGGACAGACAGGATGTGGTCCCATGAGGACCAGGGGAGGGGTCTGGGAAAAACAGTTGTCATGAGGAAGAGGGCATTAGACACTTTGGTCATGGATGTCTGAAACAGTGTTGTAACTGGTTCCTAGAACTGACAGCTTGCGGGGAGCACGTCAGGTATGGCTAGATCTAGGTGCTCTGATGGTGCCTCTATCTCATCTGTTCCCTTAGGTTCCCTACAGCCTCCGGCGGCTCACAGGGCTGGAAGTCCAGAACCTCTATGTGGGACCCCAGACCATCACATCTGCCCCTAGTCTCCCCAACCTCTTTGGCAGTTCGACCCTGTCTCCCCACCCCACCAAGGGGGGCTACACAGTCACTGATTTCCTCACCTACAACTGCCTCACGGTGAGTATGGAGCCCACCCTGGCTGCTCAGTCTGGGGGTGGGCAGTGGGTAGGAGCAGGTGATCTGGTTCTAACCCTCGCCCTGTTGCAGAGTGACACCGACTTATACAGTGACTGTCTCCGCACCTTCTGGACCTGCCCCCACTGTGGCCTGCACATGCCCTTCACGCCCCTGGAACGCATTGCTCACGAGAACACTTGCCCAGATGCCCCGCAGGGCAGCCCCCCAGGTGAGGACACTCCGCTCCTGCTGCTGGCTGGGGCCCCCCCTGGCCAGGACCTCCACGTGGTGTCACTTCCTTTCATTGGTCTCTGTCTCTCAGTCTCTGCGTTGCTGGCTGGGCAGAGCAGGGCACACTGGGTCACAGCATCTGCCACAGTTCCAGGTTGGCTGTGGGGAGGGCTTGTCTATCTCTGTAGGCCCCTGAGCACAGACTAGCTGGCAGACATGTGCTCATGCGTGAGTACAGTAATCAAGGAAGGCTTCCTGAGCCACACTGGGCAGCTCTCACCCTCTTCCCACCCCCTCAGGTGCTGAGGAAGCTGCTGAGCCCCTCAAGAAAACGTCAGCTCTGCAGAGACCCTACCACTGCGAAACCTGCGGAAAGGCCTTCCTGTTCACGCCCACCGAGGTGCTAAAGCACCAAAAGCAGCATGTGTGAGCAGTGCAGGAGCCCTGAGACCTCGGCTCAGATCCCAGTCCAGAAGGGGGAAACGTGACTGTTAATAAGCTCTTCTCTTCTGGCTCGGATCTTGAAACCCCCAAGCTGCAGCCCCTGATCTCTTGGCACCCCCCTCCGGAAGGCCTGGCTTTCATTGGACCTGCTGCAGGACAGGGGAGTTACGGCTAGTGAGGGCGTCTAGTGTATCCTGACTCACTCGGGGGAGCAGAATCCTAGAGCCCCTGATGACTGGTCTCCACTTCCGGTCAATGAAGAACACCCTGGTGGCACAGTGGGTTAAGCATTGGTGGTGGTGTTAAATCTTTATGGGAGCAGAAAGCCTCCTTTTCTCCCACAGAACAGCTGGTAGTTTCGAACTGCTAACCTTGAGGTTAGCAACCCGATTCATTAACCACTGGTACCAGAGCTCCTTAGAGCTCTTTTAGCTAACCGCTGGTGTTTGGTATTTTCAAACACCACCCCAAACTCTGCTCCCGTAAAGCTCTACAGCTGGGGAAGCCCTATACAGGGTGGCTAGGGTTTGGTTGGGTTACCTTGTAGCACCCCAGTGGGCCGCTTTGGCAAACGGGTGAAGCAGTTCCTGACATGACCACGAGGGGGCGTTGCTGTTCTGGCTCCCACGGGCAGTTCTCGGCCACGCCTCCCTTCTCCCTGAGGCTCCTCCTGCTTGGGCCCTGGGACCACTGCTGCTACCCCTGTCCGTCCCCTTGGCTGCTTCCTCATGACCGTGGGTCTGTCCAAGGCCCTAGGCTGCCTTCGCACCTCCTGTACTCACTGCTGGAGTCCTGGTGTGGCGCACCATAGGATAAGCGCTGGACAGCAAGGCCAGTTTGAATGGCAAGGTCATGGGTTCAAACACCACAGCCGCTCCTTGGAAACCCTCCACAGGGTCACTGAGTCAGAACCAACTCGAAGGCACTAAACAACAACAACAACATACATGCCTCAGCTTCATGCTGACGACCCTTGATCAACTCTCCCCCACAGTCCCACCCACTCCAAACCCTAATGTCCTTGTTCTTCTCAGGGATAGTCTCCTGTCTCCGGGAATCCATTTTAAACAATCATCCCTCCATTCATTCAACCACCCCACCCAGTCATCTGTTCATTTCCTACGGAGCTCTCCACCAGTGCGGAAGATGTTCAAGTTTTATTTTCTGGCGTTTGATTTACCCAAAGCAGGACACACCTCCAAAACAGGGCTGCCTCAATCCATCTCCAGCTCACATATACGTACCCTCCTGGCCAATCCATCAGCTCTACCTTCAAGGTAGATCCAGAAACTGAGCCCTCGTCCCCCCATAACTCCCTCCCTAAGCCACTGTTGTCCCACAGACCACAGCAGCGCCCTCTGTCTGGTCTCCCTACAGTCTGTTTTGTAGACAGGAGTCAAAAGGACCCTGTTAAAAACAAGTATCCTGTTAATTCCCTGTGGTTCCAACTCCCAACGGAAACTGACCCCAGTTCATCCTTGACCTCCCTTCCCATACACTTCCCCTTGTTCACTTAGTTCCCACCTCATTACCTTTGCACTAATTCATTCCCTCTGCCTGGAGTTCTCTTCCCTGAAACATTCACACTGATGGTCCCTCTCAGAGAGGTTCCAGTCTGGGGAGGTGAGCATCTAGGTGACTAGGTCTGAGTCGGGGCAAATGGAAGGACTATGTAGGAGGGAGGATGGGTAGGACCTGGGCTTGAATCTCACAACTGCCATGCCCTCAGTTTCCTCATCTGTGGACTGGGCGTGGTTCCTTTCACTTTGGGGTCAATTCCACACATCTGAGCTTTAAAATTATACTTTTATACTTAAAAAGATGTGTATCTATAAGGAACATTAATAGTGATGAAAAACAGAAGATACAATATTGGAAATTAAATTGGAGATAACACTGCAAAACCTAGGGATGTTAAAAGGATGCGGGAATGCTGTGAGCAATTTGACGCCAATGGCTGTGGCGACTCGGATAGGAAGGAAACATTTCTTGGAAGATTTGAACCACCAAAGTTCACTCCAGAACTGATAGCCTGCTGAGTAACGCTGTTCATAAAATTGAATTAAAACTACCGGCTCACATGACTTCACTGGTGATTCCTACCAAACGTAAAGAAATGTTAGAAGAGGACATTTTCCAACTTATTTTACGAGGTCAGCGTTATACCAGAGTAAGATACAAAAAACTACACACTAGTGTCCCTTATGAGCACAGAAGTCAAATCCTTAAAAGTTAAGCAAATCAGATTCAGTAATAAATTACTCAAGGAGTGCCAGGTTGGACTACCATTTAAAAAACTTTTCCTAAATACAGGAAAAGTTTTTGACAAACTCAATACCCTATGACCTGGGGTAAACCCTTTGGTCTCTGCCAACATTTTTTTCCATGGATAAATGAACACAGCTAAAGTGTCAGCTTTTCACAGAGATCTCACATTGTTAATGGGAACCTTGGAAGGTCCTGTTTTATGAGCTTGTATAGAAGCAGCAGATGATTGTCTCAGGAATCAGAGAAGTAAAAAAAAAAAAAAATTCCAGGTGTTTTGCACAGGGAGTGAATAACAGGAAACTGGGGATTTGCAAAATCATTGGGTGGGTGGAAGAAGGGGCTTTTAGCTGAGGCTTAAGGAATGGTGTCCAGAATAATAGCACTGAACTGACCTGCAGGGGGTGGTGTTGCCTCTGAAGCCACTTGAGGAATCCATGGTGGCTGGGATCCCAGAATCACTTCTACCCTTGTCTCACAGGAAGATGTCTGATTGGTGGAACCTAAATAGCATCATGATAAACAGAGAAAAGATTGAAATTATCAAAGACTTCAACATTCACAGAAGTTTGTTGTAGTCAGGTGCCGCTGAGTCAGTACTGACACAGAGACCTGATGCAAAACAGAAACACTGCTGGTTCCTATACCAACCTCACAAATGCTGCTAGACTTGAGCCCATTGCTGCTGCCACTGTGCCAGTCTGTCTCACTGGGAGTCTCATTGTTCACTGAGCCTCCACTCTACCAGACATGATGTCCTCCAGGGCTGGTTCTTCCTGATAATATGACTGATGAGAGACTAAGTCTGCTCATCTGGCTTCTAAGGAACATTCTGGCTGTACTTCTTCTGACACATTTTTTGTTTGTTCTTTTGGTAGTTCATGGTACTTTCAATATTCTCCAACGTCATAACTTTGAATGCATCAATTCTACTGTCTTCCTTGTTCGTCTAACTTTCACATGCATATGAGGTTATAGCACTCAAGAAATGAAAGGATGTTTTGCAATAGTCAAATCTGCAGCACAAGTGTTCCTGGCATGGTGCTGGGGGCTAATGCACTGGACTGCAAAGTTGGTCTGAACCATAAGGTTGGTTGTTCAAGCTCACCAGCTGCTCCTGGAAACCCCTATACAGGGTCACTAAGGGTTGGCACCAACTCAACAGCACTTGAAGAACAACAGAGCAGATATCTTAGCCTAAGGACTAAGATGCACCTGACCCAAGACTTCTCATATGCATGTGAAAGTTGGTCAGTGAATAAGGAAGATCATAGAAGATGCATTTGGATCATGGTATTGGAGAAGAATATTAAAAGTACATACAGTGGATTTCCTGAAGAACAAATAAATCAGTCTTGGAAGAAGGTCCCCAATGTAACAGAGAGGGGTCCTCCTGTGTGTCCATTATATTGGGAGCAGGCCACACCCCCAAGGAAGTATCCCTTGAATTAATTGGCTGCTCATAACCGCTCATCATAGTTTACTACATCAGCTTTAGGTTTCATCACCATGGGAATAAGCACATCCCAACTGCGAAACCTCTGGAAATCCTGACCTAGTCGAGTTGACACAAACCTAACCATTACACCACCTCATAAAGTTACGGTTGTTGAATGTATGAATCTACATGCTTAGTACATAGCAGGTATCCATCAAGCATTAGCTACTAGTGCTATAAGAAATATAACCAAGGTTTGCCTGTCAGTTATTCATCTCCTATGACGTCAGAGAGAAATGGAGCCATTACCATAGTGAGAAATCTGGTGTCAAACTTGACTTTCCCCCTCCCACATCTGCCATATCCAATCCGCCCTGAATCCCTGCACTTTCTGCTGCCGTGTTTAGAATAAGGCCTTCCTCACTTGTTTTGTGATCCGCCAATCCATTGCTTGATAAGTGCTGTCAAGTCATTTCCGACCCATAGAGACCCTGTATAGGGTTTCAAAGGAGCGGCTGGTGAGCCTGAGTCACCAACCTTGTGGCTCAAATGACTGCAGTCCAGCTCATTAACCCACAGCACTACATCATTGCTTGGATGAGCCATAATTCCATTGGTGGATCCATGTCGTGTCAGCAATGACATTCCTCATTCCCTGTCCCATTCTGAATCAAGCTTGACTTTCTGGCAGTTTCCTGTATTGTATTTGCATTCAAGGACATGGTTAGATCATTCCTGCCTTCTGTCATATTACCTTTCTGTGGAAGGCAAATATAGGTTCCACACAGATAGCCCTTTAAAAAAACACAATGCTCAAGGCAGTAAACCTTGAGAAATTAAGCTGAACTATTTATTGTTTGGAGTCCTGGTATGGCATTATAGGATAAGCCCCCTGGTGGCACCACTGTTAACCAAAAGGTTGGTGGTTCAAACCCACCAGTTGTTCCGTGGGAGAAAGCTATGGGAGTGAGTCTGCTTCTGTGAAGATCCTGTCTTGGTAACTCTATGGGGTAGTTCTGCTCTACCCTAGTGGGTCACAAGGAGTTAGAACAGACTTGGGGTTTTTTTGTTTTGTTTTTTAAAAAAACTTTAGGTGACATTTTTGGTTTAAGTTTTAAAGATTATATCAGGGCACTTGTTTTAGGGGTTCATCCAACCTCCATGGCTCCAGAAAGTCTCCAATCCAATAAAATTGGCATCAGTTCTCATCCCTGATGACTGCTCAGAATAATCCACAGCTGATATCAGCTCCTTTTCCCCTGTGCCTACCTCAATTTCCTCCC